CCTCCGGTGAAGCTCCTCTCTTCTCAGTATGCATCGCTCACATTTAATCTGTGTTTGACCAAGAGTGTCTGAGAGATAAGAAAATAGGTTTGCTCACCGATGGGCCCTCCATATGTGACTGGACTTAAAATTTGGTTACATTCACATAACCTCCCAAATATAAAAAAAGACAGTTTCCTTTTGTGGAAAAGTGCTTTGCTGCAGCTATAATTGGTTCTTTGAATTGCCTCTTATCTTCCATCGAACAAAGACATTACATTTGTTTGAGCCATTACAATTTGATGCTTTTGTTCAAGTGTGTTTCTTTTGTTAAATATAAGAAATGAATCATAAAGAGGGATCTGTTATGTGAATAACACCTCAGCTGCTTAAACGCTTTTTGAAGGAGTATATGAGCAGCATGATCTAACAGTACGGGTCTGTCAGGGTCTGTGTGTTTCCGCATAGACGTAATATGTAATAATAATGACGTGAAGTGCTGTATTGAATGTCTCTATTGATTCACTTGAGCAGCACTTGAGTGACCTTGATAGCAGCAACATCCACTGAATTAAAATCAGCTTCCTGTCAAGGTCACATGACTATAGCGTGCATTTTAAACACAGATCGATTCATGGTTGAGTGTTACACTGGGCAGTTTGCTACTAATGTTACCCAGATAAATGTATTTATTTTGCTAGATGGATAGCTAGATAAATACACTGAACAAAATTATAAACGCAACACTTTGTTTTTGCCCCCATTTTTCATGAGCTGAACTCAAAGATCTAAGACTTTTTCTATGTACACAAAATGCCTATTTCTCTCAAATATTGTTCACAAATCTGTCTAAATCTGTGTTAGTGAGCACTTCTCCTTTGCCGAGATAATCCATCCACCTCACAGGTGTGGCATATCAAGATGCTGATTAGACAGCATGATTATTGCACAGGTGTGCCTTAGGCTGGCCACAATAAAAGGCCACTCTAAAATGTGCAGTTTCACATACACATACATTCAAAATGCCATCAATAAAATGTACCTGTGTTCGTTGTCCATAACATATGCCTGCCCATACCATAACCCCACCGCTACCATGGGCCACTCGATCCACAGCATCTTGATATGCCACACCTGTGAGGTGGATGGATTATCTCAGCAAAGGAGTAGTGCTCACAAACACAGATTTAGACAGATTTGTGAACAATATTTGAGAGAAATAGGCCTTTTGTGTACATAGAAAAAGTCTTAGATCTTTGAGTTCAGCTCATGACAAATGGGGGCAAAAACTAAAGTGTTGCGTTTATAATTTTGTTCAGTGTAGATAGATAAATAGATGGATGGATGGATAGATAGATAGAGGTGGTGATAACCAAATATCTTCCTTCATTTACCAAAAGTTTACTATATAATTTAAATATTTAATATATTTAATTTTTATTTAATTTAAATAATGTTTCCGGAACACTCCCATCTGCCATTGGTTGGGCAAATAGATAGTCCCACCCCAAACACATGCCATTGGTTGAATCTTCAGATAGTGCCACATAGCAAGTGTTTGCACTATGCATATTAAGATAATTTAAAGATTAAAATACTCTTTAAATATAAATTAGACCTGTGAAATGTACCATTGTGAATTATTAAGCTGAAAAATAGGTTATAAATTAATTTAAAATAGCTGTTAGCTGCAATAATAAAAGGACATAATTTAAAATAGTAGTAAATAGTACAGAATAAATGATAAATAATAGTAAATATTATACATTTTATTTGTGGAACTCTGGATTTTTTTTTTTAATATCCTGAAATTCTGTTCAATGTATGAAATGTAGATTCATACTAAGTGCACATTCCAACTCATTTAGACCTTTCTGCATTCAAAACTCTCACTTTGCTTTGGGTTCGCCCTGCAGTTGAGATATGTGACAGTTAACAGCTTCATGCCGGTGTGTACAGCTGGTGCGGTTCACGTATATTTGCATGTGTGTAAACAGGTCTTGTGATCTGGTGGGGTGTAATCCAGCGAGCAGCATTCACACAGATGCTCGACTCAGTACAGGATCCTGAGAGGAAGATGAGCAGGATGAAGATGTTCCTGAGGGACTAGCTCCATGCAGCCCTCTCTCCATGCTTCTCCTGCCAATTAGCTCTCACTGGTGCAATGCGTGTGTTGTTAGTGTGTGTGTGCACTAAAACATCTGCCTGTGTGGTCGGTGTAACCACAGAGCCTTATTATAGCTGAATTCTTCTCACAATCTGTGTCTGTGATAAGAGCTTGTGATTTTATCACCGGCTGCTGGCTGACACACATGCTCATTGCAAAAGAGATTATGTCATCTTGCCTCGAAGCCCTGGAAATATCGGAGGGATTATTATGCAGCGTCGAAGACAAAATGTGTGTGTTTTTTCGTAAAGGTATGTGTGTATGCGCAGAGGGTGAGCAGGTGATCGTTTGGCAGCTCTATTCCAGGACTCTCACTGTTTGCCTGTGTGTTAGCTGAAATAATTATGAAAACACAGATCTCACGCTGTAATAGGGTTCAGTTAGAGGCTCTTGTGTGCTTAACTCACAGGAGAAATAGCTTTTGTTATGGCCGCACAGATAAACACAACCTGTTTAAGGGCTCTGTTATGTCCGCTCAATGTTTCTCAAGCCTAGCAGGACTATGAATTACTACATACTGGTTGTGATAAAGCTATAGCTGGGCAATACATCCCCCCCCCAAAAAAACACGGAAAATGTACTGATGATTTTCTTCCAGGGCATTATCCTTTAATTTCAAGGACATTTCCATTCATTTGAAAACACAATGCAATGCAGTACAAAATTCAAAATACAGGTCAAATCAAAGAAAAACTACTTCAAAATAATACATTTTTAGAATATATATATATACTGTATATATATATACACAGTATCTCACAGAAGAAATGACACTTTGCTACAATGTAAAGTAGTGAGTGTACAGCTTGTATAACAGTAGGAGTACAAAGACAAGTGTGTCTTGCCTTCAGTCAAGCACGGTGGTGCGCGTGTCATGGTCTGGGGCTGCATGAGTGCTGCCGGCACTGGGGAGCAGTGGGACAACAGTTCATTGAGGGAACCATGAATGCCAACATGTACTGTGACATACTGAAGCAGAGCATGATCCCCTCCCTTCGGAGACTGGGCCGCAGGGCAGTATTCCAACATGATAACGACCCCAAACACACCTCCAAGACGACCACTGCCTTGCTAAAGAAGCTGAGGGTAAAGGTGATGGATTGGCCAAGCATGGGCATCCTCAAACAGAAGGTGGAGGAGCGCAAGGTCTCTAACATCCACCAGCTCGGTGATGTCATCATGGAGGAGTGGAAGAGGACTCCAGCGGCAACCTGTGAAGCTCTGGTGAACTCCATGCCCAAGAGGGTTAAGGCAGTGCTGGAAAATAATGGTGGGCACACAAAATATTGACACTTTGGGCCCAATTTGGACATTTTCACTTAGGGGTGTACTCACTTTTGTGGCCAGCGGTTTAGACATTAATGGCTGTGTGTTGAGTTATTTTGAGGGGACAGCAAATTGACACTGTTATACAAGCTGTACACTCACTACTTTACATTGTAGCAAAGTATAATTTCTTCAGTTGTCACATGAAAAGATATAATAAAATATTTACAAAAATGTGAGGGGTGTACTCACTTCTGTGAGATACTGTATTCAATTAATCAGAAATAACATTGTTTACATTTACATTGTTACAAAAATTTCTTTCAAATAAATTGTTCTATTGAACTTTTTATTCATCAAAAAATCCTGTAAAAATTTTGTCAGTTTCTACAAAAATATTAAATAGCACAACTATTTTCAACATTGATAATAATAATAAAAAATCAAGCATTTTAGAATGATTTCTGAAGGATCATGTGACACTGAAGTCTGTAATCACTGCTGAAAATTCAGCTTTGCCATCACAGGAAAAATATTCACAAAAAAATATTTAGAATTGCATGATTAATAAGAAATAAGTGATGTAAGTTTCACAATATTACTATTTTACTGTATATTTGATCAAATAAATGTAGCCTTGATGACCCCAAACGTCTGAATGATAGTATCATGTTTTAAATTATGCAAATTCATTGTTGAATCTTATTTTGAAATGAACTGAATACCAATTCTTGATGACAAAATTAAACCAAACAAACAAAAAAAAAACTTTCTCCACTTCTGAAATGAAACATACGTTTTTCATGAACCCATCAATTCCTCATTCATAAAAACAAGTCCTCCTAAAGAAATATAATACAAATATTCATACTACAATAAAAAATGCATGCATTAAGTATATTTAATATTTTAATAAAATTAATATTTATGCAAAGTTGTTATGTGATGTAAATGTAAAAGTGTTTCATTGCTGTGCGTTTTATTAATTTATTTGCAATTATGTGGTTTTATTTATTTATTTAGAGTAATCATAGCTGTTCTCTGTTCATCCACCATTAGCAGTTGTGGCAAAGAATTAATTTCAAACCTTTCATACATTACAGCAAAACTGTGAAGAACTGTTGAATTGTACTTGTCCTGTCATTCAGTACTGTGCTGTCCAGCCCACGAACGTGATGGCATGGCCACCCCTTCCCCATCCTGATTTATAGATAATGAAAGGGAGATTTTAGCTCCTAAATCAACTGACCGTGAAGCAGAAGCAGAATTATTAACAATCAGAGAGATGCCAGCCCGAGAGCTCATATACTGTATACTAAGAGCTCATAAATGAGCGCATATATATGCAGGAGGCAGATCCATGACCAGGAGTCCCTCTTATTCATAGGTACGAGCTAACAGCTCCGATGGCCTTCTGAACTCCTATGGCTCCCATTAGCGATGAGGCTTGAGTTATACTTCAACAGGGTCTGTAAAAGACATGTATATCATAGGACATAATACCTGCCGTGTTATCTCCAGGCTGATTTATTTAAGGGAATAATGGAGAACATATAGGGAATTTTCACATCGTTTCTCTGTGTCACAGCTCCCCCAACTTTCACGGACACACCGCCGCAGTATGTGGAGGCCAAAGAGGGGGGCAGCATCACTCTGAGCTGCACAGCCTTCGGGAATCCCAAACCTTCAGTCAGCTGGCTCAGGGAGGGAGACCCCGTACAGGACAGCAGCAAGTATAAGGTGAGCAAACACATCTCTACTTTAGGAATATTAACTGTTTGTCCCCCAGATGTCTAGTTAAAAAAAAAAAAACGTTTCTTGTACCAAAAACAGCTGTTATTTGTTTTTCGCCATTTCTCTCAATCTTTGTTATGGCCTTCATCGGGGCAGTACATGTTGATTAATACTAAATATGTCATATGCTGTGTTGCCCTATTCCCTTAGAATAAATTATTTTGGGCTTGTTTTTTCAGTGATTTAAAACAAATGCTTATAAGTAAAATGTAAGGATATTTCCTTAAAAAAAAAAAAAAAAGAGGGGAAAAAAGAGAATTATTTCCAGAATGCAGTCGTGAGACATTTAAATTAAATGACATTTATTAATTAATGCAAGACATTTTATCTGTGGCTTTTTTCATCATATATGTTATGCAAATGTATGCTGCAATAAGATTAATGAAATTAAGCAATTTTATTTCAATACATATTCATTAGACTATTTGTGGCGTGGAAAGCCACTTAATTTGAGCCAGTTTTTGTTTTGTTTTTTACTCATTTTTCTAGTGAGATCTGGCAACACTGCTCTCTCTGTTTAAATTAATGTGCTCTCGGTTCGGAATGGCCATCTTTTGCAGCTTAGTTTTTTCAAAGTTTGGGGCCGTGAGATTTTTTAAATGTTTTTTTAGATAAGTCTCTTATACTCACTAAGGCTGCATTTATTGAATAAAAAAATACTGTAAAAACAGTCATATTATGAAATATTAGTGCAATTTTACATAACAGTTTTATATTTAAATGCATTTTACATGTAATTTATTACTGTGAATTTTCAGTAGCCTTCAGTGTCATATGATCATTCAGAAATCATTCTAATTTGCTGATTTGGTGCTCAAGAATTTTTTTTTCTTATTGTTGAAAAGAGTTTAATATTTTTGTGTAAACTATGATACATTTTTTGATAAATAGAAAGTTAAAAAACAGCATTTATTTGAAATAGAAATGTTTTGTAACTGTATAAACCTAAATTCACACTTTTTCGATTCCTTAAAAAAAAACCTTACTGACCGCAATCTTTTGAACGGTAGCGTATATTTTTGGTTTTGTCCCATTTAACAAATGCAGAAAAAACATATTCAATAAATGAAGATAAGCAGATGTTATAGTTTGTTTGTCTGACATCAGACCATGACCTTAGACTCATTTGACGAATTGTGATTACAGGGACCATCATTAGTGCATTTACTAATGCTATATTTTCCATCAAGCCATCATGAGATATTGCAGCCAATTTAGATCTTAAGGTCATGATTTCAAGCATTAGTAATGTGCCAGAGCCAAGGTTGGCCTCAAAAAAGCACACTGTCAGTCACTTACCTGATTGACTGAACAGGACAATGAAATTATACATGACAGATGGAGACTGTGTTCAGAATCCAGAGCTCTGACAGATGAAAAAATTATACATCTTTGTACTATTGACTCCGGGAGAAGAAAACATTGTGCTATTATCATCTCAGCTGGGACAGTTCTGTCTGTGTGTGCGATTGTGTCTATTGAAGATACAAACCAGCGCTTCAGTGGTCCAGCAACCCATTAGTGTCAATGTAGTCATTGGGTCACGTCTAACTGTTTAAGATCTCTCTCTCAGTGATTCCATATCAATATACTGTATACTATATATTAGAGATATATAGGTGTTAGAAGAGATGTTCATATGGCCGTGTGCTATGGGTTTGTGTAGAGGAGTAAATAGATAGTGTAAAAGCTTGTAGAAAGTAATTTTTAATTAAATGAGAAACACTTGAAATGGTTTTAAATTAGCTTTTTGGTATTTGCATTAAAGCATATTTGTTTTTGCTGTGGTATGTGAAATTGTAAAACTTTAGTATGTGACAGACACAGTGTTGTAGATCCTGAAGAGTTCCTGTGGTGTTTGATTGATATCCTTCTCTGCACAAATACAGGATTGGAGTTGTCACAGTGAGGGTTCAGGATATTTGATGACAGTGGAAATGGCAGGTCAAAGGCACTTTGTCATCTCTTTTCCTCTATCGTTACTTCTTCCTCCCTTCCTCTGTCCCATCTACCATTTTCACGGCCCCAAATCCAGCCCTCCATGAGGTTATCAGTGGCCCACCAGCACAATTCAGTTGCTACTTCTGTGTTTAAACTACAAACAAGTGACATGCAGAGAAAGTGCCACATGCAGCGCTCACTTGCAGTTTTAAAGATTTTTGTTTAGGTTTGATTTAATAATTTTTATTAATTTAAATAACCAGATTTAAAGTAGTTCCCTTCCAGAGTGAAAATTTCCTTAAAAAAATGTACTCACCCCCATGTCATTCATGTTCATGTCTTTCTTTCTTCAGTTGAAAAGAAATTAAGGTTTTTGAGGAAAACATTCCAGGATTTTCCTCCATATAGTGGACTTCAGTGGTGGCCAAGCCAAGGAATAAGGGAAACAATTGGCCATTTTTTAAGAAAAATACAAATTTATATACTTTTTAACCACAAATGCTCATCTTGCTTCATCTAGCTCGGCTTAATCACGCACGTGTGACGTATAGGCAGAAGTACCGACCCAGTGTTTACAAAGCAACGATGTCGGATGATTTTGAAGTTGGAGGGGAAAATGAGATGGAGTTTTTCGCCCTACCCTTCCTTTCTGAACCGATGTACACAGACAAAGAACTAATCACATGTGACCTTTCCAACGTGATTACATCGTAATGCATGAAGTTCGCATGCGCGTTGCAGAGCTAGTGCAGGATAAGCATTGTGGTTAAAAAGTACTTATATAAATTTGTATTTTTTTAGAAAATGACGAATCATTTCACTAGATAAGACCCTCAGCTGGGATCGTGTAGAGCCCTTTGAAGCTGCATTGAAACTGCAATTTGCAAATCTCTGACATTGACGAGGAAAAATATTTTCTAGTTTATCAGTTCAATTAATAGCTGAATTCTATACTATCATTTAAAAGTTTGGGGTCTTTAACATTTTTATATATATATTCATTCTGCAAGGATGCATTCATTTGCTAAATGTGACAAAAAGGTTGTATTTCAAATAAATTCTGTTCTTTTGAACTTTTCAGCTTTTTGAACTATTCATCAAAAATTCTGAAAAAAGTATCACAATTACCACAAAAATGCTCCACAACTCTTTGCAACATTAATAATAATTAGAAATGTTTCTTGAGCAGCAAATCAGCATATTAGAATGATTTCTGAAGGACACTTAAGATTGGAGTAATGATGCTGAAAATTCAGCTTTACCACAGGAATTCATTACATTTTTAAATATCTTAAAATAGAAAACATTTCATAAAATGACTGTTTTACAGTATTCAAATATGCAACTTTGGTGAGTACAAGAGATTTTTAAAAACATTACAAAATCTTACCAACCTCAAACTTTCAAACTTTAGTGTACAGTGACATTTTGAGATATTGGGGGCACTAGCGGGTTTGAGGGACTGCCTCTAAATTTGCCACCAGGGCCATTTAGACTGTCCCTAATAAGCTTGTCACAGTTCAGATGGTTTTCCATGCTTTTGTCTAAAAGTGTCTTTAAGCAAAGCAGTTTGAGTTTCCCTGCTGTATGTTTTAAACTACCTCTGTCAGATTGAAGAAATCAAGCAGCGGTGATCACACGGCCTGCAGGAAGAGCTAATTAATCCCCCTCAACCCTGTCATATTCCCTAGTCATTTAGCACTAGCCCTCTGTCCATCTTCGTTCTCGTAACTGTGCTCGTTTTAACTTTGTGTCGTTGAGGCGTCCCTTGGGCCCGTTATGTTCACAGTGCTGTGTAATTAGGAACCAAATAAACCATCTTAGTATTTCAATACTAGTGGAATTTCTCGACTTGAGTGGCATATTTTATATTTCATCAATTGAGCCGGCCGTGATATGAAACAGACTTTTAGATTCCCTTGTCAAAAACAGTGACTAAAAAAACACAAGCTCTTTTCTCACAAGCTATCCATTGATAGTCAAACGCTTCCATAAACCATCTGCTCGCTGAAGACTAAGCGAAGAGATTCTTACAGGAACGGATGGCTCAGTTCTCTGCCTGAAAAGAGTTTGATTTATAAGAGCCCATCGAGAGATCTCCATCTCCTCACACACAGCAGAGAAATGACAGCTTGTCAGCGACAAGCTTTGCTTAGTGATCGAACACTTTTGAAGTAAGGTGAGATAACATCAGGAGAGGAACAATGGTATTCGTTGCTTGTTAATTTGAATGATGGCAAGCTCTTTGTTCAGTCAAAATAGAGCGTTGTTTTAACTGATTATATCTCTAATGTTGTTTACAGAGGGAAGAAGACAAGTTCTGGTTACAATTGGTTAGCGTTTTTGCTGGATGTGTTTGAAGCATAATTCTTTGGTAGGTTAATACAAACTTACCTCTTTTAATTGTCTTTAAAGGAGAGGAATGCCATCCTAAATCGGTGTTTAACACCTATTTTTGTCATATGTACTTCCATAAAGTTCAACAGAGCTGACCCAGTTTTTCAGTGCACTTGGTTCCAGAAGTATTTTCCCATTCATTTTTCCTATAGAGATTTTCAAAAAAGTCTTTGTGAAAGAGTAATAAGCCATAAAACAGACAAACTAGTGAGTAGGCGAATAGAAGAATGTCCAAGATTTTGACTTTGATAGAAAATTGGACAAAAAGACAAATGTACAAGAATGCAACAGTGATGCTCAAGTACCATTTTTTGACAACAAACCAGAATAATGTTCCTTTGAAGTCATGAAGTACAGTTTACAACCTGCTTTACTTCCATAATGTGACATATTTGAGATTTAGCCATTTTTATTTACAAGTGACGCCTTAAAAAGAGATTCATATAAACAATATCAGGGTTATTTATGAATGGAAGGTGGGGTGGAGTCTTTGAATAATGCTAAATAATAGGTATCAATCATAGAAATAGTTTTTTATTTACTCTGAGTGGTGTGCTATGATTTATTAGACACGTGTGTTGTTGTTGGGTCTGCTATAGCCTGGCCGT